TTCGATTATTCATCGACGCATCAATTTGACTGATTATTTCTGTCTGGGAATGCTAAGTAATTATTGTCTTAATTGTAACGACATCCTTTACTTACAAATTGTATTACTCTTCTCGATATATTTTAACATGCCTTCAATACTTCATGTTCTCGCATTCTCTGAACTGGCGGGTAAGTGACTCCACTTCTCTGAGCTGGTGGGTAAATGACCTTATTTCTCTTCTTGCTTAAGTTCTGTCTGTCATTTTGTGATTTCGATTATATATAATAAACTATGATTATTAGGCAAGTTTTACTTGGTTTTTCTCGCGAAAAATTACGTTACTTTTAGACCAAATTTTGAAATTACTCACTTATTTCTCGGTGAAAGTGAGATTATTTCGATTTAATTGTTACCGCAATGATGAAGTGGCCCAAAGCGGAGCTGAAACGTCCGATTTATAATTTTGTATTTTATTAATTATTAAAGGTCGATATAACGTTAACTTACGCACCTTCAACCGCGTTGAACCATTAAAGTCCCTTTTTACTTGTCACTAGAACACTACAAGCGCGCGCTATTTTACTGTATCTCTCTTTACACAAAACAACATTTACAACGCTATTTAATAATACCACATTAAGAAAAATTTAACGGTATATAACAATATGATTCAATTGATTTTATACAGAACAATCTTTATTTAAATTAATTAAATAAAAAGAAATTATACGTGTAACTCTTTATATACGAAATTATATACGAAACACAGGACTCGTCTTCAAAATCACATAAAGTTTAACCACAAACTGTGTAAATTTAAGAGACTTATTAATTTCATTATAAGACTTTAGTATACTATTCAAGCTTAATTTTGATGAAATTATACAGGTACAATAGTACTTACTATGGCGCGGAGTTGCGAAAATGCCTAATTTTCGAGAAATTCAAATTTTAATTATTTAACACTTGAACGGTTTTCAAGATTTTAATATGAAAAAATAATTAAAATTTAAAAATATTTTTCTATATTTTAATTAATCGATTTTTCCTTTATGAACGAAAGTCTTTCAGCGAATCTTTTATTCTTATAATATTAATATTACAGCATTATTAATTGTCATCCGTGAACGGATTAAAAGAACAATGTGTGTATGCTTATTACGTATATACATTAATGCCTTCCCACCTGAAAATAGTCGCGGCCGAATCAAATAATAGCTTGATACATGGTGTCTAACTATTTGTGCATCAATAATTAAAAGGATCTCGCTCGTGTGTCTCAACAAAGGAAAAACAAAGGCCAATAATCGAAAAAACAGTGGATATGTCTTTAAAAGTTTATTTCCATCTCAATAATACCATACTACGTCGGGACGTTTCGAACTACACAGAGTCTTCTTCAGCCGACAAACAATTTTAATTAAATAAATGAATATAAGTTACATAATAAATTAAAGATAGTATATAATGAAATATTAGAACCGAGGATTCGTATCGATGGCAAATAACAAAGTCAATCGGAGTCACAGCAAACATGAGAGCAATTAACTATTAAGAGCCAGTTCCACAAACGTCGGTTAACTCTTAACCTCAGGTTAACTTATCCTTTGTTTCTTTCTAACGTCCCCCTTAGAAAGAGACGAAGAGTAAGTTAACCTAAGGTTAAGAGTTAACCGACATTTGTGGAACTGGCCCTAAATGTAAATGATGTATATATGTAAATATGGGCGAATATTTAATTTTATATTCGACTTCATCCATAGCATGATTTAGAATAGAACAGATTTCTATTAAATGTAAACGATGTATATATGTAAATATCTATGAATGAAGTCGAATATAAAATTTAATTGGTAAATATATAAGTTAGAGTGTAGAATTTAAATTCTAAAGCTTCTTCACCCAGTAATTTGACAATTTGATGCTTGGTTAATACGACTGACTTGGGTATTTCTCGCCATCAAACGAGAAATAAATCATGGATTTAACTTCGGCTTCTGATTCACCAATTAATTTTATATTTGACTTCGCCCATATTTACATATATACATCGTTTACATTTAATAGTTTATTGCTCTTATGTTTGATGTGACTCCTCCCTTTGATGTGACTGATTGACTTTGTTATTTGCCATCGATACAAATCCTCGGTTCTAATATTTCATTATACTATAATTTAATTTATACTATTATTTAATTTATTATGTAACTTATATTCATTTATTTAATTAACATTGTTTGTCGGCTGAAGCAAACTCTGTGTAGTTTGAAATGTCCCGACGTATAATATGTATTATTGAGATGGAAATAAACTTTTAAATTTGACATCCACTGTTTGCTCGATTATTGGCCTTTGTTTTTCCTTTGTTATTTGCATCATTACTGTTGTCTTCAAGAAACCGGCAATGTTTAGGAGCCATTAATTATTATTAAGCGATAAATTTACAAATGTATAATTTTAGTTGGCACAGAGAGATTACGCACGACATCAAACAGTTCAGGAGATCTTAATAATTAGTTTTAAATAAAAATGAAGTAGTCGAATAGTAATGGAATGATAATTGCGTATATATCTATGAATTTTATCGCATAATAATTATTTACTGTTACCAAATAATTAATATGTCCTTGTATTTCTTTTCTTTCCTTTTATATTTCGGGATGATCCCTCGCGGTTTAATCTTCCTTTCGTAAACAATTAAAACTGTCAAACTGATGGCTCCCCCCGAAATGTTGCCGGTTCCTTCAAGAACCAACAGTCTGATGCACATATAGCTAGACGCGATGTGTCTAACTATATATTATCTGATTTGGACACGACAATTTTTAGGTAGCAAGGCATTAATTACGCCGTCTGTACATCGCATATTCATTCAAATATGCGCTTTAATGCAGTTGTGAGACCGCTGAAAGATGTACATGCAGGAAAATATATGCGTGCTTAAGTTCACATAGGTATATCACGTACAAATATGCACGTACGTGAGAATTGCGAATTTGGCTTGAGGGACAAATGCTTTACGTGTATGCGTGTGTACATGTAACTGAAATCCGAACTATAAGCTTCACGAAAAAAAAAGTGACTTTTTCGGTTTTGAGATTTCGAGATCTCAAGATTGACCACGCCGATCTTAATCAGACTGGTCACAAATTACGCGCGCGATCAACATTACATAAGAAAAATATTATATATTTTATTATGTTTAATTTCTTAGATATTTTAATCGAAAGTTTGACTGACGTAAAAATTCCAGACAATAAGCTTGTTAGTAGCATCGCGTTGGGATAGCAAACAAAATTTATGGGACTTATAAGTAAGTTGCTCACTTATTTCTCGGTGAATATGGGACCATTTTGATTTGTGAGTAAAATTTAAAATTTGGCGATTTAAAAATAACGTAATTTTTTGTGAAAAAAGTTCAAATAAAACTTGCCTAATGATCATAGTTTATTATATGATCAAAATCAAAATAACAGTCAGAACTTGGGCAAAAAGAGATGTGACGTTACCAGTTCAGAATAACAAAAATCACTTATGGCCCAGTTTCACCAACGTCGGTTAACTGTAACCTTCGATTAAACTCACTCTTCATCTCTTTATAACTGTCCCTCTAGAAAGAGACGAAGAGTGAGTTTAATCGAAGGGTACCGTACAGTTAACCGACGTTGGAAACTGGACCTATGTCCATTTCTATACCAATGTCGATTAACTTTAATCTCGGTTTAACCTACTTTTTATCCTTTTTTAATTTTAGGAATTAGAAGAGGATAAAAAGTAAATTAAACCGAGATTAAAGTTAATCCGCATTGGTAGAAATGGACATTACTTCCAGTTACTGCCAGTTCTGGATATCTTGCAGTAACTGGAACTGGCAATTATCATACTGCCAGTTCAGAGAATGCGAAAATACATGTATAGCATGAAGTCATGCTAAAGTACAGCGAGAAATAATATAATTTGTACAGGTGAAATTTTACAAATACGTAATACTTACTAAATGTATTCGGAACCACTAGCGCATAGTTGCGGAAATATCTAGTTTTCGAGAAAATTAAATTTTAATTATTAGGCCTAATTATTTTTTTCTAAGGTATCAAAATAAAAAATTTAAAAATATTTTGCTGAAATGTTTTATTTTATTAGTCAATTAGTATTAGGAAACGTACAGTGTTACCAAAATGTTATTGTAAAAAAAAACAAATCGAAGAAGCTAATTTTCATACATTTTTTGCACTGTAAGATATTCGTGGTTACCGGGCGATATGGGGTGGACTTCGTTTCGCGTGAAATGTTGGAAACTCATGTGGAACGATACAATGATACACCTTGTTTCGCATTGTAAGCAGGGGGCGATATGGGTTGGACCTCGCGTGGAAAGTTGGAAACCCATGTGGAACATAGTACAATGATAAACCTCGTTTCGCACTGTAAGCAGGGGGCGGTGTGGGGTGGACCTCGCGTGGAAAGTTGGAAACCCATGTGGTTACGTTTATTTATGACGTAACTGTTTCATAAACAACGAGCAATGATATCAAAAAATATAATGAGAAAACAAGCTTCTTTAATTTTTTTTCAATAATGATATTTTGACAACATTGTAACAGTTTTCTAATAAAATAAAACATTTTAGCAAAATATTTTAAATTTTAATTATTTTTTTTATATTGAAATCTTGAAAAATGTTAATTAAGTCGAATAATATAATTTTCTCGGAAACTAGGCATTTTTACAACTCCGCACTAGTGGCTCCGACTGAATTTAGTAAATGCTACGTATCTGTAAAATTTTAACAAAATTAGAAAGGCGAGCCTTCTAAAGTTAAGTCTATAATTGTTTTTATGTTGATTGATCAATTGCGAATATTATTATCTATTAGATGTCTATTTTCTTTCGCTAATTCTCTCTCTTCCTCCCCCTCTCTCTCTCTCTTTTTCAATATATGTTGTAAATGTTTTAAAACATTATCAAATATATACTACAGTTTTTTTCAATTTTAGAGCTGTAAATACTTGTTATAGATATTTCAGCGATATGGCGCCGAATTTGTTCGGCAGTTCAGCGACTTTATTTCTGGAAGCTTCTCAGCAGGATGTGTCGCAAAAGAAATCAGCGGCAGATAAGACTGTAACGCAAAAATTGGCAATCCAAAAGGCACAAAGTTCGAAACCTAAGTACCAGTGGAAGATTGTCTGGAGAAACCTGATAGCCTTTGTCTACCTTCATCTCGGTGCAGTTTACGGATTGTATATTTTATTAACGGCCGCCAGATTTTACACGTTCCTTTGGAGTACGTTTTGTTTATCTATCTTTTAAAACCTAAGACTTAAAACTCGAGTATTTTTATTAATTGCAACCGATTGATATTTGGGAAGGAATAATATAAACTATTATAAAGAGTAGAAATCGATAGAGCTTGAATTAGTAGATCTTGATAAAATAATAATAATTGCAAGTGTTTCATTTACGAAAGATCTTATGATGTTATATCGACACATTTTATTTATTCTTTCAGATTTGGTAGTCGTAGTGTTTGCGGCTATTGGTGTTACAGCAGGTGCTCACAGACTATGGGCTCATCGGTCTTACAAAGCGAAATGGCCGATGAGAGTTATTCTTATGCTTTTACAGACCACGGCTTTCCAAGTAAGTCTCTCTCGGCAACGCTGTTGCACGAACTTATTCACGCGCGTTAAAGAAAGCAACAATCATTATTATAAATTTGTAATTATTATCCCATATGGTATAGTTTAAAAAATATCGCAGATATATACATATATATATATATATTTTTTTTAAATATTACCCCAAAAATATATTTAAAAAAGGATGTATGGTTCATAAAAAATATATTCTATATATTCTACAGCGAAACTTCTGAAAGACAGTGTTGTTATAATATTGTTTAATGTGCGTTTTGCAGAATCACCTGTACGAGTGGGTAAGGGATCACAGAGTGCATCATAAATTTACAGACACAGATGCGGACCCGCATAACGCAAAGAGAGGCTTCTTCTTTTCGCATATAGGCTGGCTCATGCTCCGCAAGCATCCGGACGTTATTACCAAAGGAGCAACGATCGACATGAGCGATCTCGAGAAGGATCCCGTCGTCGTCTGGCAACGCAGGTACAATAATTTATCATCGACGAAGACATCGTTTTCTAATTGTGAGAACAGTTGGTGAAGTTTCACAGTTGGTGAAGTGCTATCATGCGTTCTCTGTTAAAGAAAGATTACCGTCCGGTTTGATCAAAATAAATCTCTACGTTTATGCTACAGGCTCTACATTGTCCTGATGCCTGTTTTCTGCTTCCTACTTCCCACCTGGGTACCGTGCTACTTTTGGAATGAGAAACTCATGTACGCGTGGTACGCCACCCTATTCAGATACACGATACAGCTGAACGTGACCTGGCTGGTGAATTCCGCGGCCCACATTTGGGGCATGAAACCGTACGATAAGTGAGTATCATCAAAAGATACGCCTACGTTATTTACCCTATTTACCTGAATCGTAAACCTGCGTAAACGGAAGTCGATAAGAGAACCGCGTTCGTATCTTTGTGTCGCAGCACCATTAGCCCCACCGACAGCTACAGCGTCGGCATCAGCGCTTTCGGGGAAGGATGGCACAACTACCATCATGTTTTCCCGTGGGATTACAAGGCCGCCGAATTGGGCAACTATCGCACAAACTTCACTACCGCCTTTATTGACTTTTTCGCCTGGATCGGCTGGGCGTACGATCTGAAGACCGTGGCATTAAGCATGATAAAGAAACGCGCGGCCCGAACAGGCGACGGCTCGAAATATGAGCGAGACGATCATCATGACGAGCATGATCATACGCACGAGGGGGCTATATGGGGATGGGACGACGCCGATATGGCACCCGAAGATAAGAAGGGGGCTCAGATCATTAATAAGTCCGACTGAGTTCCGAGATTCAATTCCAAAAACCTCTATACGTGACATTACACCCGGTCGGAGTTACGCAGAACTTGGACGTCCGACAGACGTTTGTGGTTTATGATGGTGTTGTAAATTTATAATGAATTTGGTGAGATCTCTCGTGTCTCTGAAGGTTTAGTACATATCACTATACATCATGTGAGGTATTGTAATTTTTTTTTATAGATGTCTAGTACTTATTTCATCATCAATCAATGCATAATAATAACGATGATGGTGAAATTGCCTCATTTTTTTTTTCAATAGCTCTTGTGTAAAATTGTTTTATTTTTTTCCAACAGCTCTTAATTGATGGAAACGACGCGTGTAAGACACGCGACTGTGATTATATATACAATTTCTTTCAAATTTGTAATTTTAATATTATATTATATTAATATTATATTATATTATCTCATTACTAGGTATTCAACTTATTTTTGAATTTATCATGTTTTTTGTTTCTTATATAATCCATTATGAATTTTTCTATGTGAAAACTTCTTTTAAAAGATATATGCAAATTTTATGCAAAAACGTAAAAATTGAAAAGAAAATGCCACCGTGTGTATGTCACGTATAAATTATTAATAAGAACACTTATACTTGTTGAATGTGCACGTTATATGTTACAAAGTTGTGCATTATCAAGTAGGGATATAATCGCCCAAAGAACAGTGATTAAATGTTTAACGGCGTCAATTAATATTTATTGTAATTATAATATTATTTGTACATTGTTACATCGTTCCTCTCTTCAAATCGGCCGTTGAAACACGTCGCGAGTTCGATCGCCTTGCAACGAAGGGACGGAAAACTTAAGGCGCGGCAGCGAATTTTTTCGGATCGATCAGATTCCAGGATCGATCGATCAGAAATGTTTTTATTCAGGGATCTATGATCGCGAGAAGCGCACACTATATCGTCTCTCATTCGAGATAAACCTGTCAGGAAAAACTCGGCCTCGTTAGGAAATAAATCGAGATCTCGCGAATCCGGAATGATTAAGCGACGATCTGGATGTGCTGGCGTGTCTTACAATCAATTACGTACCTACGAATCAAATTTATTCGTGGCCTTCTGAATGACTATTTATGTATTTAGACTTATCGTATTTATATCGAAATTGTTCCGGTACCTCGAGGTCAATTCCGTAATAATTGCGACGCGACAGAGCGCGAGTCATTATCGACTTCTAATGTTGTTGTTATAATGTCAAGTAGCCAGTTTATATAATAAATTTTAGACACTATTACTGTTAGCCGGAAGTCAATATTTGTCACGTTTCATAGAAAACAATAATCATTAAGACGATAGAAGATTCATATATGAAAAGTTTTAATGATTATTGATTTAGTTTTAATGATTATTGACCACATAGATGACAGAAGCTCATATATGACTGTAGCTCATATCAGCATTATCGTTGCAAGTGACCGTAAATAATAAGCGTTCATATTATAATCGACTTCTCGACTTGTCTCAACACGACGACGATAAAGGTTTCATGCGGCATCGTGTCACTTTCACTGTCGAGTATCATGCCAGTCGCGTTTCTCATTTTGATTGCGAGTACATGATGAGATACTAAATTAAGGTATTGGGATAATTTAACGGGAGAATAAAAAATATAAAGTTTATAACTTAAAAGATTTATTTTAAATATGAGATAATAAATTTTACAATTACGAATTTATTTCATTTTTTCACAATTATAGCATAAAATGAACATTCTTGGCATGTATTATGTATTATAAATTGTATATGTTAGACTTGTACAATATGTGTGATTATAAATATTTTAACATTACTATCCTAGTCAGAAAATTGCTCACAAAATTGTATATAACCAAATTATATATAAAATCTACGTTAGAGACACGTAGATTTTTTTATATAATTTGGTGCGTAATTTTATTACTAAGATATTAATTTTGAAATATTTATAATTACATTGTGCAAGTAGATTGGATAGGAGATGCGATTAGAAATCGGTGATTGGCGGTCAGCTCTGACATAACTCCCCGTAGGTGACGCGATGGCAATCGAGCCGCTGTTCGTTACTTACATAATTAAGCGTTTTTCGATGTCGCGCGACACGGACCCGAATTCCGTCTGTCTTCCGTAAATAATCGTCGTGTATTGGATTCGAGTCCGATCACGCAGCCTCGAATAGCGATTTCACAAAGCGAATGTTACGAAAGCACACTGTTTGAACACGTAAGACTAATTACACGACTCGCAATTAATTAAAATCCGTTATTTTATTATATAGCGACTCGTTACAACAAACGCCGAACGATTGAACGGCATTTTTGTGTCGTAGAGGCCACTATCGCATATAAATAATCGCGAGCGAACGAATTTTCTTAACAGTCGAACAGTCAAGTGAATTTGTATGAATTTCTATACTTGCGATAACGTATATATTCCGCAATAATGTAAGTATAATGTATGCAAGATATCCAGTGATAGATTCGACGAACAGCCTTTAAAACAAAGTTTTCTTTACCAAATATGTCTATTACTTAACATTTTGCATACGAATAAATAAATAAATAAAATTAATTTTACAAAAATAGGCCAAACTGGTAAAACACACTAGTTCGGTCTATTTTATAATTATTAATTTATATTTAATATATAATTACTTTATAATACTTTATAATTATTGATTTAAACTCCAGGTGACGGACCATTTAAGCGTTAAACTTGAATTATCGTCAATTATTGGACATAAAATAAACTCGCTCCGAACTTTCGATTATTCTAAAGGTGTATCCCACCTTATATTTTATCTTTTCGATGTATTGAAAGCAATATTGAAGAAATCGCATAATTTTGTGAATTGCAATAAAGACGTGAATTTTGGCAGAAACTTTTTAACATTTGCTCTGCCTTACGCTGATCTTTCTACACGATTATTTTTGCTCTTTGTTTTATTATATTTTTAACAAGACTTTTTTATGAGACTCTATGTCATAAATACTTGCCCGACCATACTTACTGATTTGTACTCGTGCATACAACTTATTCGCGTAATTCTATTTATATCTACTGTGATGATTTAGAATCCTTTGCTACGACCGAGACGACCGTTTGACAAATTCGTAGATTATAACTGATTCAAACCCGAGATCCCTGCGAGAGGCCACGATTTTTCTACTTTAAGTATAAATTTTAAGAGAGCATAGTATAACCAGAATTTCCATTGCGAATCGCTTTGTTTTTAGACACCCTATCTGTAATCGTAAGTTTTTAAGAGCGTAGCTTTTAGGGGAAACAAAATATGGTTAATAATCTGTAAGAGTTAAAACGTCGAAACGAATGACGCTTCGTCGTAGTTACGTTGTCGTTCCACACGAACATAGACTTTGCTAAGACAATATTGATATATAAATAAATATATATGTATATATATAAACATATGTATGTATATATTTACACTGTATTTATATATAAATAAATTATTGTTATCGATACAGACCTCAAATCAACGCTGTTTTCACGTCACAACTGTCATTATCTTACAGAGTATCATGGATTGATGCAAGGATTGTAATTGTTTCGTACGTGTATATACATATACATACTCTCTACTAATTGTTGCATAACACAATCCTAGATTCATTAATTGCGTTTGCTTACTACGATTTAACTACCAATTACTCGAGAATCGGTGTGCCATCCCGCGTTTCACTTCTCTCAGGGAGCGCGATACAAGCGCAAGGTAACAAAGTGACGAAATTGCAATTTATCCCTCGTCGTAGATCGCACAGATTGTGTATCCTCCGTAAAGTGCTAATAATTGCTTTGCTTAATCACGGGTTCTTGGAACGAGTCGCACCTTTACGACATCCGCACAAGTTTACGTAACTCTGCATTATGAAATTTCTGTTGTTTCTAGATTTTCGCCCTGTCCGCGTGCTGCGCACCCATGGAATCGCTTCGATCGTACACTACATATTTGCAATTCGCGATAAAGGTACATTCTCGCGTGTGCATAAGCTTCGGCTACGACATTCGACAGTTTGCCGAAAGTCGGACGTGACTGTTTTACGATCCTTGCAACGAGTTTCGCCGGCGGATGCACATATAACGAGTCATTCATATTTTTCGCAATCCTATAAAGATTTATCGCGAAGATCTGTAGAATAACAGCGTTGTGGAATCGTAAATTCCGAATCCTGTAAGTGATGAGAAAGTAAAATATATTAACTTCATCAGCAATTATGGCAATTTTATTCCATAATGGTACTCTTGCTATTATGACATTTGTAACCATAATTGCAAGAAATGCATCGGTAATGCGATAACTTTCTGCAACTGTCACGATTCATGTATTAATAATTCCTTGTTAAATTAAACAACAAATAAGTGATTTTTTTTTCTTTTTGATAATATTACTTGCACAATTTTGAAACATGTATTTATTTAAGTTTTAATGCCATAACCACACGTGAACATTTATTAAGATTTCTTCAGTTTATATAAATCCCAAAATTATGATATATTTAAGAAGCTTTTTATTTTTGAAATATTACAAGATATTGCTTTGACGAGATGTGTGTAATGATAATGTTCTTGTTGCAATCCATGCTTTGTGGAGTTTTTCTTTTTAACTAGTTTTTATGTGTAAAACACATATTTAAAATATTTAATTTAAATTATTAAATATATTAAAGTTTTTTCGTTAAACAAGACTTCACAATTTTTTATAGAATCGGAGATTATAAAATAAAAGATACACAAAAGATAAAAAAGAATAAATTTTTGGAAAATATAACATTTAAAGAGAACATTATATTACACATATGTTTATTATCAAAGAAATACTTTGTAATAATACATTTTATCTTTTTCTAATATTTCTAAATTAGATTTTTGCCAGTAATAGATAGAAGCCGGAAGAGTACACTATATATAATAAAAGAGGAAACAACTGTAAAATATAACATAATTAAATTCAGAAAGGAGATAAAACAATCTCAGAATAATTCTCTTTATACGTACTATCTTGAACACTATGTAAAGTTCTGTGGTTTGTACCTTATGAAATAAGGCATTATCTGAAACGTGAAAATCACACATCAAATTTTATTCTTTTTTCAAAATTTTTTGAAAAATGTAATTTTTTTAGTGTTAATAAGTTTTCTTGGTAATTTTTTTATCTATTCTTATTTTTACAAATAAAATTAAATAGCATTATCGTTTTTTTTCAACACTTGATGTATTGTTAATGTATTCTTAAAGAAATGGAAATAATCTTAATATTTGAATAAGCTTTGTGACAAAATTAATTTTCTATCGCTTAAATTTTAACAATTAGAACATTTTCAAGACTTTGAAATATGAACTTAAAATTTTTGGTAATAATGGTTTATAATATAGAAAATTTATATAAACGTAAATGTTTTAATATTAAGCAATATCATGTAGAACTGTGAGAAAATTAAAGATTCGAGAAAAGTATTCCAATTTTACGTGAAATCGTCCATGTATATGATTTAATCTTGTAATGCGATAATATGAATGAATCAAGTGATCCTAATTATGTACTTTCAAAAATACAGTGTGGGTGCGCTCCACTTATTAGTCTCGCCTCGCGGCCAGGGATCGTTAATTACATCAATTTCGGCGGATGTTAATGAACGTATGCGTACGCGACGGTTAATTCAAGCCAATTTTGCTCGTGAATTTGAATGCAAGTCGGCCGTGTCGCCGACATTGTGTCATATCCAATTAAGAACGATTTTCGTATGCCGTAGCGAATCGGCTCTCGCGTACCGTCACCAACGGCAGTTAGACGCGCAGTTTCTCTCGGATGATAGAACGAGAAGGAGATCGAGATTCGAGAAGTGAAACTGAATGATGGGTCTTTAGTTAAGAGACGTTTCCACGCGCGAGTTTCTGAATTTAAGAATCTCTCTCACGTTGTGCTTAACTGCTTCTTATAGTGTTTCTAATTTCGCGTAGTGCATTTCATTCAATTTATTGTGCAAGGAAAGAGCTTATGGGAAGCAAATTATATATACACGCAGAGAACATATGTGCAAAAAAATTAATTATACATTTATGATGTTCAAAGAAAAATGAGAGGATAAGATAGGTATTCTATATATTTTTCTGTGTTTTTATTTTCAAACAAGAATATGTGACAATAAAATCGTTAAAGTTTGGAAGGAAATCTGTAATAAATCGGGCGCATTATTTGTTTAGCGATAATATTTTCTGGTAAACGTTATTGACCGATAAGACTGTAGTTTTTTCTTTGTGATTTGTTTTTATAAGAAAAGAAAATTGTTTTAATTAGTGACATTTCTGATGGCAATTTTCGGAAAGAGTGCATAAGAAGTTTTACAATTCATTTCGAATATTTTTTGCGAATCTTTTTAATTATAAATATTTGTAGAACTGTAGAATAATCAGTGACAATTGGGAAAAAGATAAAATCTTTGCAACGTACGCGCAGACGTAATATACCAATGATTATATTATATATTTCTTATCGTCCTAAAAAAAAATACTTCTAATCTTATTCCGTAATGTTATTATAAGTCTAATAAAAAATTTTATGATATCAGCACAATTAAATTATGATCACTTTGACCTCTCGGAGAGTGATACGAAACCGAGGAGACAAAAAAAAAGAGAAAGTGATGCATCTGCTAAAATCAATCGGATTATTTTGTTAATCGGGTAGATAGTGGAAAATTTAATATAGCGCGGAAATTTTCCAGACACACAGAGATAAGAACATTTGCCATAAAAACACTACGAGAGATTGCATATTTGCAGAATTCCGTTTTATACTATGATCGACTTGTTACTCGATATGCGAGTAGGCGCGCCGATGAAGTAATCCGGGGACGAAAGATCACGAGTTTTAGAAAGCGCAAACAAGCAAGGTGAGCGTCATTAAACTTCGTAGTTTTATTTATACTGTTTAGAGGATCTCAAGTAAAAGTCTAGTCAATTTGACAAATAATAGCGGCTGCATTTAAAAACAATGCACTCTATATTTATATATTAGTTAGTATTAATTTTTATAGTAGTTAGAGACACATGACGACATGTTTTGTATGTCAAATTATAACAAATATGGGCTAGGTTTTTGTTTTGTTTTATTTTAGATTGGTTCTGCCGTGGTTTGTCAATATCAATCAGCACACAGTCGATCAGTGGCCAGACTCTTACTTGAGGGTCTCTGATACTGTTACAATTACTAACTTCAGAATACGATTTATTTTGCTGTCAGCGCAATATCATACCATCCGATTTCTTGAAAACGTTCAGGTAAACATTTTACTTGCAATTTTATTTATAAATATGTGAATTGGAGCCAAAGTAATAATCTATTTTGAGTGCAATGAGGAATTAATTTTTATGAAATTGTGCTCATATCAGTCATATAGGAAAATATCCTTTTTTTTCACAATTTTTAACGGTAAAATGAAAAGTATGTCTTATGTCTAATAATCGGAGTTTGCACGCGCGAAGCAACACGTGTGCATGCTGTTAGGTAGACCCACGCATTAATCTATCTTGCATATCGAGTGCACTATAGTGGATTATAGTGTGACGCAGTGCATAATCTTTTAACTGCAATAATTTATTTCTAACAAGTCACCAAGAGAGTTTGTATCGTCATCCATTACCTACATTAAGCGCGCATAGATGCTGTCTGCGTCACGGAAAATTGGAGCACATACATAGACCCATTTTGACCAATTATGCATGTTTACCAATCATGCGTGTCGGAAGAGTATCTAATCGGCTAATTGTATTGTTATTCTTACTAAGTATTACGAATTAAATCATTTTGAATGCGATTTTGTTTTTAATCAAACGAATAGCGAAATGTACCGAGTGACTCTCAACTTGTGATAAATAGTCGATGAACTTTAATTGCTTCGTCTCCAAAGTTGTGATTCAAAATAAAAAAAATTACACGTATGGTCGTCGATTTTCAAAAAGCCCATTTAAAAAAATTTGAAAACTCTACGTTTAGATTTTTCATATTCCGAATACTAATTATCGAGTACAATTGTCTCGCTGATTTTATAATCAATTATATATCGATTTTTCAGGTGTCCGAAAACCGATTTATCTGCTTTACGCTTCGCGTAAAAGTATTTGAGAAACTGAGGGTAGTGAATTAAATCACGCGGTATCCCTCGCACCCGAATACATAATGGGCAGCAACAAAGTCGAAACCCGACCGAAAGGCGGCGCGCCTCGCTTCAACTCAGCATCAGCATCAACGATATCGGAGTCGCTTCGTCGTAACAACGTCGTTTCCGCGCTCCTCTGCTTTACCTGCGGCGCTTGCTTTGTCCTGAGTTTAATTTGCACCTGCCTGGCGACGTTGGTCGTTTTGCTGGATCATACCGTCGAGGCGGCGAGCCACGATCGACACGGTGAGAGAGCACGGGAAAATTCACCTGTTATCAGTGGCAAAGTGGAGTAATTTCTACGTTCAGAAATTGCTTTTGTGTTAAAATTGTGTCGTGCTTACTAATCATGTCTCAGATTCGGAAGTTTTCGATAAAAGGAGATTGCTCCGCAAGCAGATTGATAAAACCGCTCGCGAAATACAAGTTGGAAAGCGTTCAAAGCGCGTTCAATGAAAGTTTACTCGATGTGTTTGTGCTTTGTCAACTCGGCCAGTAACGTGACAAACTTCTTCTTATGTCACGAGTATTGTGATTGCTGGCGGTAGATTTAAAAGTGCTTTGATCGTAGGCTCTTCTTCTCAATATTTCAGAATTTGCTAGAGTATTTCTCCGCTAGACAAACGTGTCAGCGATCTATTACAGAGTAGATAGATTTTTGGTTCTTAAAAATAAATAATAATAATAAATATTTTATTCGAATGATTTGTCGATTCAATACAGTTAAAAGAATATAACAGATTTTGTCTGTCGTTAAGAATACTGTTTTTAAGCTGATAATTAGTTGACGCTGCGCGAAAGTAATTTTTTAGAAGACTTTATTATATAAGTTTATTTATTCAACGAAGCGTAGATTACAACTACATATCACTAGAAACCATATATACGAAATGTTATTGGGTAGAATTCTTTTTTAAGAAAACAGGTAAACTTGACTGTTATCAAACTTACTATCTTGAGAGATTTCTGGATATCGGAGGTGGCCTTGACTTTTAAAATTCAAAGTCCAGTTATCGATTAGACACGCAGACATGTTCGTATGTGTACAAATTATTTGAATCGAAAGAAAGTGGACATTTAATCGGGACTATGCTCCGATTTCATGTTCAGTTGTTCGGGAAGAAACTCAAACAATGTTTCGCATTTTACAGCAATAATTTGCAATGTGATAATTCAAATCAAATAAATATTTTGTATTCGCATTTTGCAAATATTATCTCACTGACAATCCATAATGATGCATCGCTTTTCAAACATATTTCATTCAGCTCGTCGCTCCGATTTAGTTATAGTTCTCCTCAAACTTTTAGTTCAATCGATTGATGGCCAAATTTTGCATTCAATCTACATTTCAGAAAAATAGAGAAGGCTTTTTGTTACCTTGTTGGTTACATCAGCATATGAGATTAATCAGACAGATAAAGACTGTGGGTTCCTAGATTATGCGTTAATATTTATCTGCGCGCAACACACGACAATTATTTGTAGATAATTATTACAGACATTAATTTTGTTTATAGATTCGAATAGACCAGAGGCATACACAACAATGTCTAATCCCGATGAAAGCTTCAGATTGCCGAAGGAAGTCATACCTATCGAGTACGATCTCCTCTTGCATCCAAACCTTCAAGAGGGCACGTTTTCCGGAAATGTGACCATCCTTATTCAAGTCAACGACAACAGAAGAACCATAGCTCTTCATCAAAAAGATCTCAACATTACATCGACGAAATTAAAAACGTACGGCCTAAGTGACGACTATACAATTGAAATCTCCTCCGTCAGCAAGCCCACAAAATATGACATCTTCGTGGTATCAACTGAAAACGAGATTCAACCCGGATTCTATAAGTTAAATCTAGAATTTAAGGGAAGTCTAAAAGACAAAATAGTGGGATTCTATATCAGCAAATATCGGTATAAAGCTAACGAAACCAGGTAATACAAACTTGTCATTTCACTAATAAGTGATGCACGAATTTTGTGATGAATTTAATTAGTTTCTCTATTTGATGATATGACAGAATAGACTTATGATTGTAATGTATCCCCTATATTTTTTAATCAACAGGTATATTGCGACTAGTAAATTCGAGCCAACTTATGCAAGACAAGCTTTCCCGTGTTTCGATGAACCCAATTTTAAGGCACACTTTTCGATAAAGCTGGTTCATCCTATGGATGATTGCTACAGTGCCTTATCCAATATGAATGTGGAGGTATACGAATTTTTGATATTAATTGTCATTTCTTTCGGAAAATTATTAAACAGTTTATTGAGAAGTTATTTTTTCTGCCTTAGAGCACTGCGCTAAATACACCGGAACGTGGTCTAGCAACAGTGACCTTTGCAAAAACTACAAAACGGATGTCGACGTACCTAGCTTGTTTTATTGTCAGTGATTTCGTTAGTATGAGTAAGATGGCGAAGAATTTAAATGGTGAAGAATTTCCGGTCAGTGTCTATACCACAAGAATTCAATCGAGGGAGAAAAGAGCTTTTGCATTGGATATTGCCGTGAAGGCTATCGAATATTACATAAACTTATTCAAAATAGATTATCCATTGCCAAAACTCGGTAAATATGCAACTAAAATTTACGGAAAAATACAAACTTGTCATGCACATTTAAAGTTCTCGGTAGATTTATTTTTAAGTACATACATTTATAAAACCATTTCTTTTGCAGATATGGCTAGTATTCCCGATTTTGTATCCGGCGCTATGGAAAATTGGGGTTTAGTGACTTATAGAGAAACAAGAATTCTTTATGATGACCGTCATAACTCCATTTATGATAAGCGCGATGTCGTTAACGTGATCTGTCACGAATTGGCGCACATGTGGTTTGGAAATCTCGGTAAATATTTTATATCGATCAATTGTGATTAATAAAAATATGAGAGACATACTTTTTTTTAGTTACCATGAAATGGTGGAATGATTTATGGCTCAATGAGGGTTTTGCTACATTCATGGCATCTAAATGTTCAAATGAGATTCTACCAAACCAGGGATATGTTGGTGTTTTAATATAATCTAATTGAACATTGATATAAATATTAAAAATATGAGAGGAAATATAATACTGTTTTCAGATGGAGGAATTTCCTGTTGAAGTAATGCAGAAAGTGTTTGTTACCGACGCAAAGTTGAGTTCTCATCCTATAGTTTATAACGTCCAAAATGCAGACGATATTTCATCATTCTTTGATGGAATATCTTATAAAAAGGTATATGGATTATATATATCATATTATTTTATAATTTTGCACTTTTTACTAATTTCTTATAGTCATTTTTTTCTATCTCATTTATTTACTTGAACTGGTGCCTATTTTAGGGGGCATCTGTAATCCGCATGATGGAGAACTTCTTTGGATCTGATGTCTTTTTTGGTGCAATTAGTACCTATTTGAATAAATATGCCCTTGGGAATGCGGAGACGGCGGATCTCTTCAATGTTTTGCAAGATTCGGTTGGAGACGAATTAAACGTAACAGCTATAATGAACACTTGGACGCGACAAGAAGGCTACCCTGTTATTAACGTGAAAAAGTCCGGAAATAATAAATTTGTACTAACCCAGAAACGATTCTTGGATGATCAAGACGCCAAATCCGATTCCGCAAAATCAAATTACGGGTGAGTTATTTTATCTCGAGGCAATAATCGGCAAACTTATTTCAAAATCATGTTACATTTTACAGATATCGATGGACTGTGCCCATCGTATATATCACTAACAGAAACGAGGTACCCGCTCTTGTATGGTTTGACAAGGATCAGGACGAAGGTTTAAATTTAATAATTCATAATTTCTCTGTACGAATTATTTTTATATAATTTTCTCTTTTTTTACGATAAAATTCTATATTTTACAGTGACGATCGAGGTCGACGAACGTACTAGGTGGATCAAATTAAATGCGGGTCAAGTTGGCTATTATCGAGTTAATTATAACGAGGAATGGATAACATTTAAAGAGCTGCTTCGGGCTCACCTTATGGTAAAATTACGCTATTTTTTCGTTTAATGCAAAAGTTATTATAAATAAAAACTTACAATTTTCCAGATTAATGCATTACTTTGTTATTTTTACTTTTTAATTAGTCTCTTCGAAGGTTTATTTTTTATGCTTTTTTATTATATTTTTCTTCTTTTTTTTTATTACAGAGAATATCGTCGTTGGATCGAGCGAATCTTTTGGACGACTTGTTCAGCTTAGCTGATGCCGGTGAGCTCGAATACAATATCGTGATGGATATAAGTGTGTACCTCACCGAGGAGTATCAAACTCTTCCATGGGCGGTTGCGAGATCGAAATTGATGACAATGCACACTTTGTTAACTTCCTCGAGTGAACCAAATATTGCAGACACGTTCCAGGCAATATATCAATCAAAGCATTGCAAATTACCTTCCAATGTCGTCGCGAAAGTCATTTTTAAGTGTATATAATACAATTCTAGTCTTTCGTCGCAAAATTGGTAGAAACCATCTATGATTGTGTAACATGGACCGTCGATGATTCCATTGAAGACGACGTGCCATTCACGCAGATTGACAATAGAGTGCGAGCGCCGGTACTCGAATTGGCCTGTGCAATGGGTTCATCCGAATGCCTGCAAACAGCCGGTGAACTCTTCAAGAAATGGCTGTTACTAAAGAAAGCGACGCATCCTGATATTCGCGAATTGGTTTATTACTACGGTTGGTCTATCTAATGTAATCATAAATTTTCTGTATTATCCGATTATAAAAAAAAAATTCTAATGGAATGCAAAATCTTTTGTTAGGTATGCGCTATCATTCGGATAAAAACGACTGGAATGCCATGTTCAAACTATTTGAAGAGGAGACCGATCCTAGCGAGAAAAATAAAATAATGATAGGATTAGCAGGCATACATTCCACCGAGATTCTAAAGGAGTTAGTATTAAGCCTATTATCGACAACTTTTTAAATATATATTTTTTTTAATTCAAAATCAATTAACACGTATTTCTCTTTCTTTTTAAGCTACATCACTAAAGCTCGCGATGAGAAAATTGTCCGCACTCAAGATTTCTTGAAGTGCTTGACTACAATTTCGAAAAATCCCGACGGTACATCGCTGGTGTGGGACTGGGTGCGCGAGAACTGGGAATTCCTGGTGAACAGATACACATTGAACGATCGTTATCTCGGTGAACTTATACCATCTATTACAAGTACCTTTGCAACGCAAACTAAGCTGGACGAGATAAAAGCTTTCTTCGCGAAATATCCTGAAGCTGGTGCCGGTGCGGAGGGTCGAGTCAAGACTCTTGAGACAGTCTCGAAAAATATCAAATGGCTCGCTAGAAATACTGAAAAACTTAAAAATTGGCTCGCTGAAAACTGGTCGTCAGAAACTGGCATTCGTAAGACCTGATGAACGCACCAACAAAAGTATCTTAATATGCAAGCTGAAAAGAAAGACAGACTCTTTTAATGTATACTGATTTCTAACAGTTACTCATAAAAAACAAATAATTTTTTATTAAATCTTGGTATTATATGCCTCAATTGTCAAAAATTATTGGCAGCGTGAATTAATTGTGATTTTATATGTTGACTTTAAAGAAAAAAAGAAAATTACTCTGGCAAATACGATGGATAAGAAGACTGTATTTAATATGCTGAAATTACATTGTGATCAAATGTTCTGTCACGTAATTAGTAATTACTGTGGCAGCGTGATTATCATACACAAATACAAAAGCATCAATATGCATTTTGCGCGAAGCACAGGTCTTTTATGGAACGCATTTATAAATCTTGATACTGATATATATACAATTTTATAGAAATATAATTTTGTGATTAAATATAGCATGTTTATACTGTTAACTGGTAATTCTTTTCCTTGACTGTGAGTATTGGATTGTCAGACATGAAAATTATAAACGTATATGGAGGGGTAAAAGCCATAGTTATAGTGTAAGTCAAATTTTTTAAAATATTGATTCGTGTGCATAAATGTAATTTATATATTGTATAGATTGCATATGCACACGAGTCAATATCTTGAAAAAATTGACTTACACCACTATGGCTTTTATCCCTCCATATATGTGAAAATTTGTGAAGGTCAGATCTATTGTGAGATCGATCGTATTACATTCTATTTCTCTTATAATTGGTTTAATACACATTCAATTGGCCTGTTATGGTCAATAAAATAGTCTAGAGGGATGATAAAGTCTTTTAATTTATCATAATACAGTGCACAAACTTGTTTCTCACGACACCACGCTCTATGTTACATAATATACCTTTTTCCAGAAAATCTTTTTTATAAAAATAAAAGAAAGATTTTTAATTGCAGATTTATTTAAAAATTTACTTACGTAATTAAATGTGATCAGGATTGCGCGCAAGATCAATTTTTTTATCCACGAAAAACAAAATAATCCATCTTGTCATTTCAGTATCGCGCCGTGGAAACTGTCAACAGCATTTTGCGATATGACGGATATTGCATGGTCAGCTGGAAAAACATTTTTGCGAGATACAAGGGGGCTTATCGAAAAATGCAATATAAAGCTGCATGAAATGTTTGTCATTTTATTTGCGCTATTGAGAATTATTTGCATTATCAGAATAGAATCTAGTGGAGAGACAGAAAAACAACGATGCGCAAATCCGAGACATAAAACAGATTTCAAACTGCCGCACATTCATCGGTTTAATGTTACGTAAATAGAGGGACTCTTTTGCAGCAATATGACATTTCCATGCCGGTTAAGCAACTAATCAAATACGCAGCAGCTCTGTAGCACCAATGCAAATAATACGAGCGCTTTCAATCAAAGTAATATCGCGAAAAATATTTTTTTATAACAGGCACGCGCACGACATTTTCTTTTACGATATATTATAGTTATTTTGTTATAAAGTTACAAATTTTTTCCCGTATTGTACGTACTTCTATAATGTTGATTTTGATTTTGTGTATTTAATGAAAACGTTCGTTTTGAAAAGATATCTTTTATATTTTTCCGGCATACATAATATACATATCAATCACTTTCGAATTATTTCAGATGATGCATTATTTTCTAATAATATTTAATCTAATCAATATTGACTATAAAACTCGAATTATTTAATGACTTGTTCGACTACAAACTGTTTCGTATCTTCTATAATTCTTCATGTCATGGAAAGATGCTAGAAACATGACAACTCGTCTATGAACATCAATTAGCTCACAGAACGATATCCCATAAAATAACATCATAAAAGCTGAAATTGCGAATGGGATAGAACCGCCAGAAATCACCAATTAAGAAATATAACTAATTAGTTTATTCTATTCTTTTGCCCAATGAAAATATTAGCCCGTAATATTATTTTCGAAAAAATATCGAATTCTTCCCTTTTGGAGAAAAGTGTACTTATATTACTTTAAGTAAACTCACAGAAATAAGAAAAGTTTCTACGATTATCTGCGAACATTTCATTTATTGACGCTCTTTTATTCACTCGGATGGAAAGTATATATAAATTCGACCAAAAGTTCCAATTACATATCCATGGTAGACTCTGAAGCTAAGTGGAACATGCCGAATTATACTCACGATACATTGAGAAAAAAACATTTAGATCCAAAAAAATATTTATTAAGTGGCTCCTAACAGCTTATTTACTTGATACACATATTTATTTAGAATTAGATATTTTTACTTAATTTAAATTTAAAAAATCTAATTCTAAATAAATATGTGTATTATATTAAGTAAATAAGCTATTAGGAGCCATTTAATAAATATTTTTTTCTCAGTGTATGTACACTCTTTCCAATTTGCGGAACAACAAGTATAATTGGCTAAGTTTTTTTTTTCCATTTCAACACCATGCCTGGGTAATTGCGGGCTTTTCTCGTCTGATCTCTAATCTTGGATCAAGTCCTCTCTTCAATTTCTCTCGCCAGCTCGTATTCCTCGCATACTCCTTCATCTACAGCTCACGTATTATGATTGGCCGTATCAAATGTGAAAGAAGCTTTCCATTATCGCGTTCTGCTATTTTACCATTTTATATATCTCTCTCACTCTTGCGACGCGATTTTTCGATTAAGACGCGAACTTACATTTTGAGAATGCCAAGAGGCTTCGCACGAATGCGTCTCCTCTTCCATGACGAAATTCCTTCTCCATAATATCATCAGCAATAAAATGTTTAGTTGGCATTACATCACCTTTTGTACCATTGTTATGAAAAATAGCTTTTTTAATGCGGTTAAGGGTGAATAATGATAATAGCTTACATTCCTATTCAACTGAAAAGTGCACGAACTACGAGATTCCATTTTATACGGAAGTTGAAAAGGTAACGTTTCTTTGTATAAAATAATCACTTGTTTTGAAGCTTAAAGCTTCGTCGAAACAAGTACTTATATTATTCGATATCATTTAATTTGTAAATTTAAATACTAATTTAAATTAAATTTTACAATTAAGAACATTATAATCTGATTTTAATTGATGAAATTGATGAATTTTTTAATACGAGATGTTAAGAATATTAAATTCCAAAGCGCACAGCTATAATTTAAATGTACAATTTCTTTGTTTGTCATATTTTGTCGAACGTTAATATAAAGGTTGCTGTCGTTTCTGCTCAATAAAAATATCAGTTTGTCATCGTGCTCGATTGGCGCCCGTCTTGTACAAGAAAAGGATCTGTCTTTTATTGGGACGAATGTCACATATTCTCTAAATGATCACGTAAAGTTCCCCTTGTTTGCCTTTTGTCCCAAATCGACCATTAGTAGCAGAATCTCTGGCGAATTTGGAACTGATTTTTTCCTTGCGGAGAGAAATGTTGAGACTAGTCTTTAAGCCATAAGCTAGTGAAAACGAAGAGCAGGTAAAACGAGAAATTGGCTGCGTACAGCAGAGAAAACTACTTTGCAACTGTTGTAAAATTTAGGAATCTGATTGATACATGCTTTTTAATTTTTACCGGAGCCAAAAGTATACACCAAACAAATTCACGAATTTTACAACAATTGCAAAGCAGCTTTCTCCGCTGAACGCAGCCAATAAAACTGCAGAGATGCAAAAAAACAATAGGATTTTTGTATAGTTTTTAACGGATTCTTCTTTTTTAACAGAGTATTACTTCGAGTAAAAATATTTAATACTAAAGATTGAAGAGTCTAAAGAGATTATAATGTTTAGCTAGTATTAATTATTGGTTCGATAGCTGGAGAATGTTCTGTATACTTTTATCCAACGATTTGTTTACTGAAACAGATGCAAGCCAACTTGATAGTTTTCCTACGGGTGCACATGTGTTGCTGGATTAGCATTGGGCGTGCTGTGCAATAAATCATTCAGACGATTAAACGTTTACTAACTTATGCGTTGCAGCGTTCGATCAAATCTTCTTATGTTGCAATTGACAGAAGTCGGTATAATCATACATTTACAATATCCGGCTAAGCCGTTGCAAAAGCAATGCTAATAAAATAAGTGCATCTGAAAGATATATATTTATTAATTAAATCGGTTATTTTTCTTACTAACAGCGTTTCAAAAACTGAAGACTTAAAGATTTAATTTGAGTTGTAAAGTTATAAAACGTTATAAAATACATGTGTATCTTTATTTAAAAAATAAAACGAGAGAAGGGAAGAAGAGAATAAAAAATATAGTGAAAACTCACGTTTTCGATAATTATAGGATTTTTCTAAAATAATTAAGTTTGTTTATAATTTATGTATGGATTTATTTTTTCGCAAGATCTTTTTCCCCATGTTTACGCTAACTAGGGGAAAATCGCTCAATTCTATGCAAGCCTACACATGAAGATGTTCTAAATTTCACAAACATATTATAAGTACCTACATCTTATTTTCTTAAAATAACTTTACCTCGATTAATCCGTATATTCACAGCTAAAATAGAACTATAATATAACGAGTTGAATGTAATGTGATAATTTATGATTTAACAGTGTTGCTGTGCACTTATCTTTCATTTTCTTTCATTGACGTCGCAGCAGACGCTCGTAATGCCCTTCGAGCGCGTTCGTGCGTCACTTGTGGTCATGATCGAGACTCCACGGGGGCTGCAAAAATTGTGGTAATTCACAAGAAAAATGACGACAAGAAGAAGCTGTCGCTCAAGCAATTAATATCAACTATGTGTTCTCTTCTTTGCGTTCCGCGAACGAATTCCAAATCATCATCAGTGAAAAACTTCGCTAAGACTCCTCTCTTCTCTCGTATCTCATTCCGCTCATAAGTTGAATGAAACTATTGTTTCGATTAATCTCACTTTATTCAGTTTGCAGTCTCGCGATTTTGTGATTTCTTTATTACTGATGCACTCTCGCTGACGCACCGACTCTTTTATTTCAGATTCGCGAATGTGTCTGCCGTTCTCCGAACGTCGCTATTCCCTGTAAACGTCGACGAAAGCAAGCATCAGTACGCTAATTTGATCACGTTTGATTCCGTCCCATGGATTCCGCTCGACTTACTTCTGATTTTTTTTGTACCGAGAGTCAACAACATCGTTAACAACGTTTTTCCAGGTCATCGTGTCAGCGATCGCTGCAATTCTGACCTGTGCTTTTATGATAGGATCGACAAACAATTGACAAAGAAAGGGCACGTCAACGAACATGCTGATGGAGTCCAACAACCGGATGATTCCACGGTCCTTGAAGCTCGACCAATGGTCCTTGAAGCTCGATTCGGTGCCCGCAAAAGGGGACAGGTTGCTGCTTATATCTTCAGAGGATCCCACGGGATTCTCTTCGCAATGTTGATGGTTATTATCCCGAAACGGTTTGACGTTTTTATCCGTATACGGACGGGATTATACGATCGATAC